AAAAAAAAAAAAAAAAAAAAGAATTAACCACCATTATACATATTATTCTGTGTCTCCCTTAAAGAAAAAATTACATCCAGTAATGAAGAGTTGAATTCACCTAGGTTAAATGCATATAGGATGAGACTGGACTGCACTTACAGGCAATTTGACACTTGTAAGGGCAATTTTAATCATATGCAATTTTTAAATTTATAAACTGACTTGAAATCTAATCCTCATGTTAAGATATATTATAAAGGAGTATATCTCTCTAGCATAAAAACTCCCAGCACAGCAACAAAAAGTTTAACATGATTAAATTTTTTACTGTACTAAGAAATCATAGTCTATGGAAGGGAAGTGTAGATACAATGGGGAAAAAATGCTAGGCGGGGTGCAGTGGCTCACACCTGTAATCTCAGCACTTTGGGAGGCCAAAGCCGGCAGATCACCTGAAGTCAGGAGTTCAAGACCAGCCTGGCCAATATGGTGATATTCCATCTCTACTAAAAATACAAAACAAAACAATTAGTGGGCATTGTGGCGCATGTCTGTAGTCCAAGCTATTGGGGAGGCTGAGGCAGGAAAATCACTTGAACCTGGGAGGCAGAGGTTGCAGTGAGCCTAGATCATGCTGCTACACTTCAGCCTGGGAAACAGAGTGAGACTTTTGTCTCAAAAAAAAAAAAAAAAAGTGCTGAGTGAAGGCAAGGAGGAACATAAAATGAGTGGTACAAAAGGGCATAAATACCAACTAATGCCTCACAGTAGTTGGAGAATCAAGTGATAGAGCTTCTGCCAAGACCTCATATTTATGCTCCGTTGACTGAATATTGACCTTACTAACTGAACCCCTTCCCAGTTTCCTTTTCTCCTTTACTGGAATTATTGCTAATTTAATAATGCTTTATTTTTATTTTATATACAGTCATGTGCCACATAACTATGTTTCTGGTCAACAATGGACTGCATAAGTGGTTCCATAAGATTATAATGCCCTATTTTTACTGTTACCTTTTCTATGTTTAGAAACACAACTACTTACCATGTATTACAATTGTCTATAGTATTCAGTACAGTAACATGCTATACAGGTTTGTAGCCAAGAAGCATCAGCTATACCATATAGCCTAGGTGTGTAGTAGACTTTACCATCTAGGTTTGTGTATGTACACTCTATGATGTTCACACAACAGTAAAATCACCCAAGCCGGGTGTGATGGCTCACACCTGTAATCCCAGCACTTTGCAAGGCTGAGGTGGGTGGATCCCTTAAGCCCAAGAGTTCAAGACCAGCTTGGGCAACATGGCAGAATCCCATCTCCATAAAAATAAAAATAAAAATAAATTGGCCAGGCATGGTGGCGCGCACCTGTAGTCCCAGCTATTCCGGAGGCTGATGTGAGAGGATCACTTGAGGCCAGGAGGTAGAGGCTACAGTGAGCCAAGATCATGCCACTGCACTCCAGCCTGGGTGACAGAGCGAGACCCTGTCTCAAAAGAAAACAAAAAACAAAACAAAGCAACAAAATCACCCAAGCATGCATTTATCAGAATGTATCCCCGTTAAATGATGCATGACTGTATATTATCCTGAACTGGTGACACTAAATTTGCAATTTAACACATAGAAGAAAGCTGAAACACAAGATCACCAAAAAAGGGGGGAGTGGGGACGGAGACTCTATAGACTGTAGAGCCAGACTTGGCAGGCAGCTTTTAAAATAACCTACAAAGTCACTCCTAGTTATGATGGGTTGGTATAATTTGACATTGTCATCACATTGGACATCTTGGTAAATATAGATGCTTTTAGAAAGGGGCATCTTGGAGGAAGTTAGCTGAGGAATAAAAGGGTCTTATGTACCTAATAGGTGAGAATATGTACTGAGGAGCAGTCCATGAAAAAGGGTGCCTTCCACTAAGCTTCCTACCAAAGCAGGCAGAAGCACCTTTTGTAGCCATTGCTTGCTCTGAGACTCTATAATCCTGACTACCAATAATTAGACCACAGGTTGTTACCTAGCCTGAAGGCAATCATGACAGCCTGGACACAAGGAAAACCTAAGTTTTTAAGGAAACCTAGTACAAGAATTCTGCTCCGTAGGTATACTCTTTATTAAATAGTAACTAAATAATCAAAAGAAATGCTTCCTCTCCTTAAGAAATATATGAAACCATGAAGAGTTATAAAGAAAAATGTCATTAAGGAAACTCATGGGATAAAGGGAAAAGCAAATAGACAAAGTGATGATGGCAGCAGGCGGGCAATGAAGGTGGTAAAAGTAGTAGTAATAAAGAAAGTGGAGGCATAAAGATGGAAGGTCTAAAGTTTAAGTTATGCCCTGAATAACTGAAATTCTCCAAGAGGTTTAAAAGGTCCATTTTCTATGCCTTCTTGCTTCCCTGGGTAGTCTTCCAATAAACGTCCAACAATAAAAAGGTATTGTGTTTGTTCCTAGTAGGTATGGAACTATTTGTAAAAAAGATATCCATGTATCTTTGTGAAATCCAACTGGATTTTGCTTGTGCGTGTATGTGCACGTGCACGCGCATGCTATTTTTCTTTTTTTTAAGAGACAGAGTCTTGCTATATCTCCCAGGCTGGAGTGCAATGGCTAGTCTCAGGCATGATCATAGCTCACAGTGTACTGCAGCCTTGAACTCCAAGACTCAAGTGATCCTCCCACCTCAGCCTCCTACATAGTTGGAACTACAGGCAGGTGGCTGTATTTCTCATAGCAATATTACTATGTCTACGTGATATTAGTGTCCACCTGCTCTGGTGGACAGAATTCTAAGCATATTCTCCAATTCCATGTGTTTGGTATTTTAATTTTGCTTGGTTATAAAGCAGTAAGGAGATGATTTGGAGCCTTTTCTTACTAGTGAGGCAAAAATTGAAGTCTGGGCCGATTGCTTACTATATTGCTTTAATATAACAAATTACGCAACTATTTTCATACAAAGTAGGAAGATGTCTAGGGTCAAAAGAAAGGACACGGGAATGTTATTAATCAAAATGGTTCATGTGACAACAAATATCTTGGTTTCAACTTAACAGTTAAAACCAGCAGGTCAGATTTTGCCTGGGGAAAATATTTATGACCTTATGCTAGAAAAAAAATAATGTAAACTGACAACATAGGTAAGTGGGAGATACATATATAGTCCTCAGTTTATAACAAACTCTATTTAGCCTAGACATAAAAACTTGCATATTACCACTTGTAACAGACACTAGATGCTTTACATATATATTTTCTCTGGCCCTAAATAAGGATTTTCTTAGTTCCATTTTATAGATGAGAAAACCATCAGAGAGGTTAGACAAAGTGTCCAAGGGCGCACAGTGAAAATATAAGAGGTAATATCTGAACCCAGATCAGAATGACTCAAAAGCCAAAATTTTTCCACCATACTATACTACATGACTTTGGAACAGGATTATTATTTCAAGCTTTAAACATGAAACAAGATCAGAAAGAAAAAATACTAAAAAATAAAATCATTTTTGGCTCTAAAATCTATAATCGCATTGGTCAAATAAGACAGTATAAAAATGACAACAGCTGGTTATAAAATTTCACTCAATTTTGCTAAACACTATTATTAAGTACCTTGGCCAGTTTCTCTGGAATAAGTTCTTCTTTTGGACCTCCAATTTCCTCATCATCATCATCCTTCTTCTTTTTCTGATTTCTCTGCTGCTTTTCTTTTTCTGCATTTTTTTTCTCTTCTTCTATCTGGGCTTTCTTTTGAGCTCTTCTTTGTTTATTACGTAGCTTCTTTAGCTCTTTGTCAGACATGTTTGCTGTAGGCAATAATTAATAAAATTAACAAGTATGTTAATCAGATTAGTAATTATTATTATTTAACATTACCAAACTCCTATTAAAAAATATTGCATGAGGCTGGGCACAGTGTCTCATGCCTGTAATCCCAGCACTTTGGGAGGCCGAGGCAGACAGATCACCTGAGGTCAGGAGTTTAAGACCAGTCTGGTCAACATGGTGAAACCCTGCCTGTACTAAAAATACAAAAATTAGCTGAGCATGGTGGTGCACACCTGTAATCCCTGCCTACTCAGGAGGCTGAGGCAGCAGAATTGCTTCAACCCAGGAGACGGAGGCTGCAGTGAACCGAGATCACACCACTGCATTCCAGCCTGGGCAACAAGAGCAAAACTCTGTCTCAAAAAAACAAACAAACAAAAATACTGCATGGTATGGATGTAAACATCCCTATATGCACCTAGCCTTTTAACGGTGCAACATCAGATACCAAACAATGGAACAAATTCAAAAACTTTTTTGAAACTGCATGGGGTATACATGTAAACAAATGACCACAGCAAAACATACAAGTTAAACATCAATATTAAACTATTTGCAGTCTATGAATAAAACAAACTATTGCATATCGCAAGTCTCTGTGGCTTCAGAGGACTATGCTCTCTTAGTTATGTCTTCTCTAACCTGGCCAAACAATTATTCATTCTCTCTGTGCTGCCACTACAGCTAATACATTTTGCTTGTCACAATAGTTTGTTTATACAGCTGTCTCTCTTTTAAACTATGAGCTCTTTGGTAAAGGAGATCCCGTCTCATTTGTAACTTTTTTATTTTCAGGGCCTAGCAGCCTGCCAAAACATACAGATAACACTCAAATATTTGTTAACAGAATAAATGAATAACTCTATAGTAAATTAAAAATTTAATATTGAAAATTAACAATATCCCTAGAACTATAAACCCCTGAATGTCTCAAAAGACTGGAAATCACTAACAAATATGCTACAATATAGTGAAAAATTTATATTGTTTTGATTTCAAAGAACAAATTTGAAAGCTACAGGTTCATCCAGTATTTATTTGGATAACATCTGTTAATATTGAGAAATGAAAAAAGCCATTCCAAAATACAGTACCACTGTGATTTCAACATATGCCCACAAGTTCTACCTTTCAAAAGGCAGACCCTATTTCCCCTTCCCCTTAAATGTGGACTATATTTAGTGATTCATGTGTAAGGAATAACATGTACTATACACCACAGTATGTAACATTAATATAGGGGCAAAAAAGGACTACAGGTTCCTCCTTACTTTCTTTTGGATCATTCAGAGGAAGCTAGGTCCTATATTATAAGGAAACTCAATCAGTCTTACGGAAAGACCAATGTGTGGCAAAGAACTGATGTCTCTGGCCATGAGAGTAAGCCATCATGGAAGGAGATCCTCCAAGTTGATCCTTCAGATGCTCCAGCTGGCAACTTTGTTTTTTAATTTTAAAATATAAATAGAGACAGGGCCTCACTAATGTTGATGAGGCTGGTCTCGAACTCCTAGACTCAAGCAAACCACATGCCTCAGCTTCCCAAAGCATCAGGACTACAGGAATGAACCACCATGCCCGGCCAACATCTTGATTTCAACCTCCTGAGAGACCCAGAGTCTTCAGGAACATACAGCCGAGTGACTTCTGTTCCTGACACATGGTAACTGTCAGATAATAAATGGTTGCTATTTAAAGCTGCTTTGTTTTTGAGTAATTTGTTTTGCAGCAATAAACAACATAGATTTTGGTACCTGAACATGAGATACTGCTATAACAAAAACCTAAAATGTGGGAGTAACTTTGGAACCAGGGAGTGGCAAAAGATGGACAGACTTTGAGTAGGGCTTTAGTGGAAGTTTAAAGAACCTTGGACTATTCATGTAACTCTAGACTTGGAAAAGGCTGCAGGTGAGTCCTTAAAATGAAGTGAAGGCTATGTTACAGCCACAAAGTAGCAGAAAGTTTGGCAACAGTGTTATAAAATGAACTCAGAGAGCTAACTAAGGGGATTTTCAGGCAAAGTGCCCAAGAGAAGTGCAAGAGGAGAAAGAAACTAAAGAAAGGAGAGGAACTTGATGATTTTGAAAACTCTCAGCCTCCCCAGAAATGGCTTGCTAGGCAAAGATCAAATCCAGGCAATTGTCAGGAAAATATGTCAAGAGAAAAGGCAAAGGGCTTGGCATTACAATCTTTTGTTAAGATCTAGAACTCAAAATATGGTGGTGTCTCACTACTTAGTCTGAAGAAAGGCTCTCTCTATGACTCAGATTCTCTCAAACAATAAAACATCTAAGAAACTTAAGGGTGTTCTCCCCCCCCCCCACAGAAGCTCAAGGTACATGTGGATTCCAGTAAGATTCACAAAAGATTCATGATGTTTATTCTATGGGCAGAAATAGTAAATTTGGATGGAAAAGAACAGAGACAGCACAAAATGAAAAGAGGCCTTCAGACTCTCAAAATTTTACTGGCCAGAAGAATATGGAAGAACTACTCAATTGCAAACAATTGTTAACTTCCAAAAGAAAAAAGGTAATTCGGAAAGTGGAACCAGGAACCCAGAGGGCAGGGTCGAGAGCCACAGAAAATTATTCCAGTCTTGGGTCCTAATCAAAGAACTATTAAGCCATGGACTTTAGAATGGATGTGGTAACACTCCTGTGTGCCTCCTAAGAATGTCTACAGTGATTGTCCTATGTGTGCGTCATTTTATATTGGGTATGTAGTTGATAGTTAACTTGCAATTTTAGTTCACAGGATTTTATATTAAAAGAACTATAATTGAAAAGCCACACTTAAGGTTAAAAAAAATTTTTTTTTAAACCCTATGCTCAAGGAGGTGTTTCAGCACCTGAACCTGATATACGTGACAAGATTCTGAACTTTAAGCTAATGTTATAATAAGATAAATCTTCTGAAGGCCTTGGAAAGGCTAACTATATTTTCCATATAAGAATAATGTAAGCTGGGCATGGTGGCTCATGCTTGTAATCCCAGCACTTTTGTAGTCTGAGGCAGGAGGATCACTTGACCTCAGGAGTTTGAGAACTGGCAGTGCAACACAGCAAGATCCCACCTTTACAAAAAACTTAAAATTTGGGCATGGTGGCATGTGCCTGTAGTCCTACCTACGTGGTAGGCTGAGGTGGGGGAAATAGTTGAGCCCAGGAGTATGAGGCTGTAATGAGCTATGACTGAGTCACTGCACTGTACTCCAGCCTGGAAGGTAAAGTGAGACCCTATCTCAAAAATTAAAAACAAACACACACCAAAAATGATAATGTAAATAATTTGTAAACAAAATGCAGACCATGGCAGTTAAAATTATGTCTACAAATTCTTCAGCTCTCCTCCCCTCAAATGTAGGTTGTGCTTGGTGACTCTCTTCTGACCAATTAGAATGTGAAGGAAGTAATGGTATGACGTCAGGAAAAGAGAACACTAAAAAGGTGTTGTTGCTTCTTCCTTTCTCTCTGTCATCATTAGCTACCATGTCTTCAGAAATTTTAGAATCTCTACGGAGACCTTGCCAACAGCCAGGTTGAGTGAGCCAACTAGGAAATGGATCCTTTCAATCCTAGCCAAGTATTCTAATGGTTGCAGGCCCATCCAAATTCTCAACTACAACTTCCTAAGAGATCCTGAGCCAGAGTCACTTAGACACTTCTGAATTCCTGACCCAAAAAAGGGTTATTTTAAGCTGCTAAATTTAGGGATTAATTTATTATGCAGCAATAGATAACATATAGCCAACGAAAACAAATGCTTTATCTGTTTCTCTTTAGTGTACTTGAGTAAGTACACTAAAAACAAAATGCAAAAAAAATATTCCTAAAAGACCAAAAAATTACATTCTGGAAACACAATACTATAAATGGATGGCAACATAAGCAGTGACCTTTTTAATGACTGGTAAAATAATTGCTACCACTTGCATCCTTGCTACATGATAGATATAACGCATACCTTATATTTTCTTTTTCTTTCTTTCTTTCTTTTCTTTGAGATAGGGTCTCACTTTGTCATCCAGGCTGGAGTGCAGGGGTAATCATGGTTCACTGCAGCTCTCACTACCAGGGCTCAAATGATCCTTCCATATCTACCTCCTGAATAGCTAGAACTATTATAGCTAGAACAGACGCTCACCACCATGCCTGTTTTTGTTGTTCCTGTTTGTATTTGCAGAGACAGAGTTTTACTATGTTGCCCAGGCTGGTCTCGGACTCCTGGACTCAAACGATCCACCTGCCTTGGCCTCCAAAAGTGCTGGGATTACAGGTGTGTGCCATGGCACCCAGCCCATACCCCATACATTGTATTTCGTTTGACAACCTCATGAATTAGAGAATAATATTTTATTTATACAAATTTCAGAGGTTTCAGAGGAGGTTTCAGAGGAAAATAACTCAAAGTGATGGTAAAATGTAGAACAAGGATGTAAATCTACTTCACTTGGACTCCAAAGTCTAGGCTTCCTCTATGCTATACTAAACTTCAGGTGATTAAAAATCCAAATGTACGTGGGCGTGGTGGCTCACGCCAGTAATCCAAGCACTTTGGGAGGCTGAGGCAGGTGGATCACCTAAGGTCCAGAGTTCAAGAACAGCCTGGCCAACATGGTGAAACCCCATCTACTAAAAACAAAACTTTGCTGGGCGTGGTCGTATGTGCCTGTAATCCCAGCTACCCGGTAGGCTGAGGCAGTAGAATTGATGGAACCCGAAAAGTGGAGGCTGCAGTGAGCCAAGATCACGCCACTGCACTCCAGCCTGGGGTGACAAAGTGAGACTCTGTGTCACCACCAACAACAACAACAAAAAAAAGCCAAATGTAAAAATTACAAAACGATACTCCAAAGTCTAAGGCCTTTTCTACTGTGTCATACCAAACAAAAGTCAGCAAACATTTTTCTGTAATGAACCAGATGCTTAGTAATTTCAACATTGTAAGCCACAGGTCTCCGTTGAAATTAACT